TGCCATGCAAACGATCTATATTTTGATTGCATGAGAGAATACCAACTATTTATAAATATGCAGTATCTTAAATATTCTACAGTATACCTATTGTAACTTTCCATTTGATTTAGAGTCTAGAATTTCAATCATAAACATACAAGCAAAAGAAACAATTCTCCACAGAAAACCAATGTATTATATTCCTGTTCGTAATGTAACAGTGCATACAAATTAACCAATACATTGGCCAGCTCTGATGAACAATTCCTTCCTTGTGTTGAATCCATTAATGCATTCGTTCATTTCCACCCAATTAGGAACTTAATATATATAAGTATTATTTTTTAATTTATAATTTTATGTCAAAAATCCCACTTGCATTACTAAAATACCTTGTAAGCACAGTGGTGTTATGGCAGTACAATACTGAAGACACAATTCATTTGTGATCACCTCTCTCTCCATAAGAGGAAGGTTTTTGTCTGATATGCTGCACAGTCAAGGGAGGGGTCTGTTATTGCTTCTTCAATTGTTTTCATTCTACATAAGGAAGAAACAAGTCATGGAAAATTCCCATGTATCATGAAATAAAGACAGGCAAAAGAAAAACATGCCTTTATTTTGGACCCAACACTGATTGATTGGCATCTGGAACAGTTCTTATGATTACAAAATCATTAATAAGGTAATAAATTAAGAAGATTCTACATGCAAATTTTCGTTAATTAGGTTTTTCTCCAACTTCTTGTTGGCACCGATTTGCTGCATGCATTGCAAACTCTGCCAGAGGATTGGATACTGTAGCAGGTTCTTCTCGCCCTGCACTCCTGCCTGTAGCATTGGACCTTTGATGACTACCCTCAGCTACACCCTGATTTGAAGACTCATCATAACCAGAGTCTGAGGATGAATCACTGTATGTTTTAGCTAGTTTGCTATCTTTAATACCACTGCTGCTATCCTCTGGAGTATTGTCACCATTACTATGGCCCATACCAGCAACTGCAAGTGCTGTCTTTTCTTGCTGATTAGTCTTGCATCCATGACAAGGCTTCAGAAATCGAGGATCTATTACTATAGCACCATAAGGTCCTTTGAAGATCGTGCCGCAACAAACTTTTTCCCTAAAATAAACAATTTTATAAAATTAAATTAATAATTTACACATTTTAGCAACAATTTGAAAATATGACAACTGTCATTTCTTCTTGAAAGACTACCAACTCACAACACAGACATATAATATTTCACAAAATAAAAAAGCTTTTCAGTTTAAAAAGAAACAAGTGACATTCTATATGTCTAATACTTAACAACTTTTATACAAAATTAAATATTGCTGGACTTTCAGAGCATTTTTAAACACATAAACACTATTTTTGACAAAGTAAAATACAGAAACATCATAAAGACAATTTTATTAGAATAAATAATGTCACTTTCTTATTTTTCAACCTCTGAACTTTGATGGTACATTCTTTACACAGTACAGAATATCATAAAAAGATGTAAACACATTCAATGAATGAAATAAAGACATTTTAATAAACTACATAATTACATACATCGGCATTGGCATTTAATGAATTAGCAAATCTAGTGTAGGTGCTCAAAATGACGAACATTAGCTTCATAGCGCAACTGACAGCAATGAGCAACTCGCTGACAATCGAGCACCAAAGTTGCTGCTATGAACACATTTTTTTGGGACACACACTATTAAGGTTGAAATCTAGAATACTTGCATTTTAAGAAATGAGTGTAAGTTACCCCTGATAATGACCTTATAAAAAGATGAAACATGTGCATGTGGTAAATGTAATTTCTCTCCATGTAAAATTTTGACAGTAACATCTGTATCACACAACTTTTCACCTTTCTTAATGTACAAGCTTTTCAACTGTTCCAAAGTTGTCTTCATTCAACAATTACAATTCACAATTATCATTACCTTATTCTATTAATTTGTACGTTGTAGAGTTGAAACAGAATTCTTTCTGGTTCAAGAAAAATTATGATTAGCATGTTTTTATATATATATATACCTTTTCCAGAAGGACATATCTAGGAAACTACTAATGGCTGGTGGTGAAAGTCGCCGTTTGCCGCCCTTCTCAGACCGATGTGGGGATACTGATTTATTGCGTTGTTTAACTGAACATACGGCAGTTGCATCATCACTAGGTGTGGGACTGGAAGCCAGACTGGACGGTATGCACATTGCACTCATATCAGACATGAAGTCTTCACCTAGAACATTAACATTAAAGTCTAATCACTGCAAACTGCGAAAGTAGTTAAACATTTACAACTTCAAGATGGCAGTAACATTAATTAGTTATGACATCCACTTTCCTTCAAATGCTTGTATGGAGAGGATAGTAAGAAACAAATTGTAAATTCAGAGATACGTTTCAGCATATAATTTACCATATTACAGATTAACACCAACAAAATGTACAAGTGAGCATCAGTATCTTAAGCCTTTTGCAGAACCAGATTTTAAGTACACCATATACAACTGTCCATGTGAAACAACATTCCTTACTTACATCAATGCCCACTTATGAAAGACCGGCCTTCAGTTTTATCGATTATCACATTGTAACACAATTTAAAAATAACTGTCAACATTTAAACTCGAACAGGCTGTCGAACAGCATTAGCAGTATTCTGGGAATAAATATATTTTCTCTCAAAATTGTGGCTTCTATTATATTCTTCCTTAAATGTTTACCCTGAAGTCCTGCCCGTTACACCATTCTGGAGGGTAATCTCCCCCCCAAAAAAGAACAATTTTGGTATCAACTATTTTTATCACCTTTAGTTAATCTGTTTCAATCATCAACAATAATTAGTTTTAAATATACAGAAAAATAATCATCAAAACTCAAACCCAATATACTTTTTTCAGGGTCATGGCCTTTGTTCCTGTAATCTTCTCACTGAAGCAAACAACTCTGGCCTGGTTTTACTGTTCTATCATGCTTAAGATTCCATGCTAAACAATCCACCCATACCAGAATGCAACCCAGGACAATTAAATACATGGCTCCTGTCCAATTCACAAACTGCACTAAAAGAATAATGAAGGCAGAATATCAATAAATGTACACTTTATTTTAAAATTAGGGATCATACCTGTGATGTCATCACTCAGAGCTCCTGGACTCTCTTCACGACCTAATCGATCATTCTTCATATATATGTGCTTCTTTTTCATGAATTTCTCAACCTTTTGTATACTGTCAGGTTTTAGTTTCAACTTCTTTTTGTTCTTGGACTTGAATTTAGTTAGAGATTTGGTCCCTGGACCAGCACGTGCATCTACAACCTGGAAGATAGCAATGGGAGAATAGAATGCTTGCAAATCAAGGTTACTTTAGACACAAAAATGATGTCATCAACAATGTCACCTTATATTTGTTTATACTCGGCATTGTTGTGTTCCACAACAATGTCGAGTAAACAAATAACGCTTCACAAGAGCATTGTTGTGAGATATTGTTGTGTTCCACAACAATATTTGTTTATACTCGGCATTGTGGTGTTCCACAACAATGCCGAGTAAACAAATAACGCTTCATGAGAGCATTGTTGTGTTCCACAACAATGCTGAGTAAACAAATAACGCTTAGTACCAAGCCAGTTGCATGATCACTGCTCCCCCCAAAGGGGTGGTTGGTCAAGTGTTTTAACCCCCATTCGGGGGGGTGTTTAGTTTAGTGTCTTACTCAAGATTTTAAAAAGCAACCAACCTCCCTGAAGGGGGGGGGGGTTAGTCAAGTGTTTCAACCCTCCCCTCGGGTGGGGTTTTTTTTAGTGTCTTACTCAAGATTTTAAAATGCACCCCCCCCCCCACCACACAAAGGGGGGGGGGGTTGCATTTTAAGCACTTGACCAACAGCATAAAACATTTCCCTTCTAACATTAGCCAATTCCCAAATCATGTGACAGGCCACATAAAGCTGTGAGATCCATATGAAGTCCACACGCTACAGAATGCCAACCTGATGTAGGCATAACATGTAACCACTTGAAAGTCACTGTTTCCTGTTGGGTGTAGTACCCAACCAAACAGGAAGGGTTAATTTTATAAGTGATAAAATTGGTTCTTTCTAAAACATCATAATACAAGATTTTGATCACCATGGCTATAGAGGACTAGAGTTCTTCAAAAAAAGAATGTATCTTGAAGTACCCAAATGAAGAGAGTTTTAACAACTAGATGCTGAGTAAGTATGCCATTCTCTCCATGAAGTAGAATCAAACTTGGGTTATCTCTGCACTGTAGTTCAGAAATGTAGACTTTTAAATGAAGACAATATGAGAGGTACATATTTGCACAATTTAGGAACACTACAGTGAGGCTTTCCTCACTTTGGTCCCCAAGTTTACTGAATCCATGTGAAACCTTAATGTGGATTTTACTGCATCTAGCATCTCATCAAATTGCATCATAAAATACCAGCTTTAATGTATGGGAAGCATAAACATTTACCTCCATGCATGCTTAGATCGCCAAATGCAGTCTACAATAAACATTCTATTCAGGAGAATGAGGATGAAAGACAAAGAGGCTAAAACAGAACAGGATACCTACATGGCGCCAATTACGTTCACTGCCTGCAGGCAGCTTCTTCCACCTCTTTACCAACAACACACATGCATTACATATTTCTCCAGAGCGACGCTCATGGAGCTGAAAACAGTTCATGAAGTCATCTTCATATTTCTTGCTATCTGTAAACCTTGAGCTGTAAACAATAAAATAACTTTTCCATTACTATATTCATTAACAGATGTTTGTAATGAAAGAAAAACATATTACAAGGGTTTTACCAAAAGTTGATAGTAAATATTACAAAATAAAAATTTACACAATATATTTCACATGTCACTGTGACATTAACCAACTGTGACTCCCTCATAGCAAAATCCGCAGGTTCAAAACCAAAGCACGCTGCCGGCCATAATCCTGAGCCAACTCCATCCATTTGCCATTCTCAAAGCCCACCTCCCTAAGATCCATCTTGATGTTACCCTCTTGTCTCCTTCTTGGTCATTTTCCAGGATTCCCTACCAAAATTCTGTATGCACCCCTTTCCTCCCCCCATGCATACTACATGTCCAGCCCAATGGAGCCTCCTACATTTCACTATCCTCACTATGCTAGGTGACCCATACAATTCATGCAGCTCCTTGTTATGCAATATTCTAAACTAACCACTTATTTCATCCCGCCTACATCCAAATATCTTCCTAAGCACCTTGTTTTCAAATGCCTGTAATCTATGTTCTTCCTTCAAGGTAAGAGACCATGTTTTACAACCATACAAAATAAAAGGCAAAATTATTGTTTTACACATCCTGATCTTCAGTGTTTTGGATAGTAAACGAGATGATAAGTTTTTGAATTGAATAAAAACAAGCATTCCCAGAATGTACACCACCTTATTAGCAAACTTTAGTGAACAGCATCAAGCACAGTGGTTTATGAATTCACATTCTTGTGACATTCTGTAAGTTCTTCAACTCTTAAAAAAGAAGATACAGCACGGATTAATCTGTACAACATGCATATTCTGAATGTCTCCTTTGTGTTATTAATTCGTGTTATTGATTAGTTACTTTAAACAAGATTGCAAGCATTTCAGCAAAGCAGATCATGGAATGTTTTCACAACCCGCGTGGCGGAATCCGAAAACAATTCCTTGAACCGAAACTCAAGATATACTTACCTACTAGACTTCGCCCTGCATATGCAACAGCCCGTCGACGAACGGTACACTTTTGGCTTATGAAAGCTGAACATCTCAATAGCTCTTATCTTGCTTCGGTCTATCACCTACAAATAAACAAAAAATAACTAACGTATCACAACTGACATTCCGCACTACAGCTGAATATGACATTCCAAGTTTGTCTTCACGTAACAACTGTGAGCACATATTACACGGACAAGCATAAACATGACCCAACATTCTGCGTATAAGGTCTTACGCAGACCCTGAACAGAGTTGACGAGGGTTCTCTGGGCCTTTGTTGATAGTGGACGCATACGCAGAGACATCTTGCCATTGATGCCATACCTCACCAGCAGCGGAATCATTGACCCTCACCACCTCGATAGGCCTATGGTGAACAATCTAAACGGCCTTGAGAACATGGCAAGGAACTCAACAAAGGCGCCTTAAAACCGGCAACACAGCAAATGATCACCCAACCCTAATGGGCATGCGGGGGAGGAACGCCCAATCCATGCGCAGAGACGCAGCTTCCAACTCCTGGAAATGCACGTACGCGACACGATTTCAACGCACGTCTGCCGGCGACGTAATACGGTTACAGACCCTTCTTCACCAGACGCACCCACCTTGCTATTAGTACTCCTCCACTACGTCGGGGCTTTCCAGCACATATCCAATCAATCGTTTCAGTGATTGAGGGCATTTCAAAAGCGGCACGCCACCGGCAAGACATATCCAACATTGAGAAATCGCCATTACTTGTTCGGTTAAATACAAATTGACAGAAATAAGACAGACTTTATTCAGTTGCAGATATTCTGCAATTCTTTCTTTTTGCTGATATTGCAGCTTTACTTTCGCAATTGTGGTTACACCGTGCCATTACTGAAGAGGGTCTACAAATAGAATGACAGCTGCAATGCACAACTTATAAGGAAAACTTGAAAACACAGGACCCAATGTCACAGCCGAGTGGTTAGTAACCCCACTTCCTATTCTATGGAGGTTCCCGATTTAACTCTCGGCCTATTTTACGTGGTTTACCTCTGCATCTCCAAGCAAATTCCGCGATAGTTCCTTTTGAGAGCTCCCTGCCATACAATTCCCAATTCCATTCAAGTCGATGATTTTCGCTTTCATGGGCTAACCATCCCTAAAAAAACTTACGTAACAACAAAAAATGAAGTCATGGAAGTCATTAATAAACGTTTACAGATTCATATTTATGTCATTCGGTGGACAACAGGTTGGACTCGGATCGAGACACCGCAAGGCCTTCATAGCGTACCACAGTAAAACTCTAACACAATGGCTTGTAAAGGATTCCGACACCCCCCTCACCCGATCATAGTTGGGTCTGGGGACCGCGAGAGCCACCGGACAGTCAATGAGGTCGGTACGTTTTTGTCGCAATAAAACTAACAGCAATGACGGTATCAAATGTCTATCCTTACCACGGGGCGAAATTACGTCTCTGTGGCAGCGAACGGTCCCATTGTCCATCCCCCAGATTATCCACGAATATGGTGCAACGGCGGAATGACAATGACAGGGAAAACAGAAGAACTCGGAGAAAAAAGCTATAGCACGAGACAGTATCACACAACAGTGGACGGCAGTTGTACAGAAGCAAGCAGCACCAGCGTATACGCAAGACCAGTGTGATCTCCATTCGCACCCATTCTAAGTTGCTCCAACGCTCGTCTGAATCCTACACCTAATACGCTAGGCGGCAATGTATCGATCCAATTACTCAACGTCGTGTCTTTCACTAACCAAATGACCATTTTAACATGGTCGACATTTGCAGGAAACACTAAATTGCACAGCTGAGAGACAAGTGGTTCTACTAATGCCACCTACGGGGGACTTCAACATTCGAATTCGTAGTGGCCGGCAAAGTATGCTTATTTAATTAAACCCGAAAGAACCTGAAGCTAAACAAATAACAGGTTCACAAAACACCTACACTTCCTATTTAACTATTTATGTGGTCACTTCGACAATGCAGCAGTAATAAGAGAATAACTAATAACACAGTACAATAATACAGTGGAAACGGATGGAACGAAAATGATCGCTGCGGAGACGGTGTGTAATTTGGAAGGAGGTTGTAACCAGGAACAATGCACTTTGCCGATAGTGCATTTATGGGTTTACTTTTATTCTCCAAATAAATATCAAAATGTCTTTAAACAGCACGAACTGATCTTTGTATGTATAAAGCGAAGCTTTCACAGCGTGACATTAAAATTTCGGGCAATCAGCCCTGAGGATGAGGACAGATATGGTCCTCAAAACGTCGGCAAGTTTTAATCATCTGACACGGCTGATAGCCAGAGAAGATTTTATTATTGGTCTTCGTAATGTTTTCTTTGGCGTATGGACTGAATATTTAAACAGCGCTTCGGCTTCACAGTTAAGGCTATTATCAAAAGACCGAAGTCTCAAGACCTGTTGAATTAACTGTCTTTGGAGACTGACAAGTTATGAGAACAATTTAAAATTTTCTGCAATCTAAGCGATTACCAACAAGCGAACGGTCCCATTGTCCATCCCCCAGATTATCCACGAATATGGTGCAACGGCGGAATGACAATGACAGGGAAAACAGAAGAACTCGGAGAAAAAAGCTATAGCACGAGACAGTATCACACAACAGTGGACGGCAGTTGTACAGAAGCAAGCAGCACCAGCGTATACGCAAGACCAGTGTGATCTCCATTCGCACCCATTCTAAGTTGCTCCAACGCTCGTCTGAATCCTACACCTAATACGCTAGGCGGCAATGTATCGATCCAATTACTCAACGTCGTGTCTTTCACTAACCAAATGACCATTTTAACATGGTCGACATTTGCAGGAAACACTAAATTGCACAGCTGAGAGACAAGTGGTTCTACTAATGCCACCTACGGGGGACTTCAACATTCGAATTCGTAGTGGCCGGCAAAGTATGCTTATTTAATTAAACCCGAAAGAACCTGAAGCTAAACAAATAACAGGTTCACAAAACACCTACACTTCCTATTTAACTATTTATGTGGTCACTTCGACAATGCAGCAGTAATAAGAGAATAACTAATAACACAGTACAATAATACAGTGGAAACGGATGGAACGAAAATGATCGCTGCGGAGACGGTGTGTAATTTGGAAGGAGGTTGTAACCAGGAACAATGCACTTTGCCGATAGTGCATTTATGGGTTTACTTTTATTCTCCAAATAAATATCAAAATGTCTTTAAACAGCACGAACTGATCTTTGTATGTATAAAGCGAAGCTTTCACAGCGTGACATTAAAATTTCGGGCAATCAGCCCTGAGGATGAGGACAGATATGGTCCTCAAAACGTCGGCAAGTTTTAATCATCTGACACGGCTGATAGCCAGAGAAGATTTTATTATTGGTCTTCGTAATGTTTTCTTTGGCGTATGGACTGAATATTTAAACAGCGCTTCGGCTTCACAGTTAAGGCTATTATCAAAAGACCGAAGTCTCAAGACCTGTTGAATTAACTGTCTTTGGAGACTGACAAGTTATGAGAACAATTTAAAATTTTCTGCAATCTAAGCGATTACCAACATGAGTCGGTCTTCCTCGCCGCGACTTACGAGACTGTGAGCGAGATGGCACGTGTGACAGACAGACAGACAGCCAGCCAGCCGGCCGGCTGAAAAATGAGACGAGCAAGCTTCACTTTCAGTGAAACAGCGAACTAAGCAGAACTCCACTCTCGATTGCGAAAGAGTTACGAGGTAAGAAAACCAACACAGTTAAATTATCAATACAAGATATAATAAAAGGCCAAAATATATTCTGGGTCACAATAAAACAATAAAGGAACCAATCGAATGCATATTTGCTTACGACGTTTACACTTCACGATTCCATGCAAACTGGACGAATTTAATGATTTTAGAATGAACTGGCATCCAGCCCGTTTCTACTTAGAAGACAGTTACTCAATCACGCCTGTTTCCTGGCCATAACAGATTACTACCAATGTTACAATCGCATGCGGATTACACTGTTGTTCTGCTTATACAGACAACGTAATCGGCAGGATTGAATGAGGGCAAATAACTCTCTCCACTACCCTTGCCCTCAATTCTGCCCGGCACTAAGGCGAACGACGCCCATGCTACAAGTGATACCTTGCTTTCCTCAAAGTTTCAAGAACAGCTCCCTTGTAGCAAAGACCCTGTGATTTTTTGTCACGATGAGCTACACAAGACCCTACTAAAGTTAAGCGAAAGAAATCCTATTCCACAGCAGAGATCCACATAGATACCCATTACTATACAGTAAATACTGGATACGTTTTAAAAATACTGTCATTGCTACATCGTGATTCACGGCCACTGCTGAGGGAAGAATTGTCCTTTATTTCAAAGACTGTTCTGTTGCCCAAGTGCCGAGGCGCACTCCAAACATGAGATCCTCACACACACTGACTTTTAAACAACAATACGTTCTCATTAAAAGTACTTCGTTCTCTGAAATTAGGAATGGAGGATATCACATGAGGATCACCTCGCCTAGCATTAATAGCGTAGCTAATGCGGGATGGGCTGGATATGTAGCGTGGATGGGGAAACGAGAAATGTGTACTGGAAACTGTGATGAAAGGGTCCGCTTGGACAGCAGTAATTTGACAAATCACGATGGTAAGGGAACTGCGTTGAAATATGAACAGAGTCCATTACGATGAACAGTTGCTAATAAGGATAATTACTGTCAAATACTGACGACATATACAAGACTTGTCTGATATGAAGTTAACTATTCATTAAACAGATTGACATTAAACTATGCGGGCAGCACAAAACATCGGCGGACCGCGGTCTGAGAACGAGATACAATAAACAATTATTTGTACGGTATACCGTGTCAAATCGGAAGATATGCCTGTGCCCAACCACCAAGTCACGAAGGCATGTAGAGGAAACAAACACATGTAAACCTCCAGGTCATTTCACTCAATCGGAAGTGAGTGGTCAGCCTCATGCACTGGCCGTTTTACTGTCGGGAACCGAACACCGGTCCTCTAGCCAGTCGATATCCCGGCTTACCCTTACCAGTAACAATTATTAAAAAAATATTCTTGCAGAACTGCTATCCTCGAGATATGACATGCCTACCATCTTCATAGTAATCGAATATGCCGAGTGGGATACAGTACCCTGTTACACAAAAGCTGTCAATAGGAAATGTATATGAATGTCCAGACAGATCATGACCTGTAGCGCTGGAAGGTATCATCCAAAGCATGACAGTATAACCGATCGATGCAGACATCCTCCCAATGTTGCCACCTCTCACTTACGGATAAAAACGCATATTAAAAATGCTTTATTAATGCAACACGCGCCCCGAATTCTCAAGTAAAATGTGTCGTAAGTTTCGATGTACAACACCGAAATCCATGACAGCGACAAGGAAATATTGTCTGGCATTCACAATGAAATCTAATCGATCTCCCAGCGGCCCTATGCATGGTAACAAATCCGCCCGCAACCCTGCGAATGATCAATGAATGTCCCACTCCAAAGACACCCTGCCCCTGTTACCCTACAGCCGCGAAGCCCCGTGTGGCGTCACTGGTATAGACAAAAGATGCTACGAGGTGCGATCCCAAAGCAGTGCATGCGGAAGAAAAAATGACAATAAGGCTGGTACTGTACTTCGGAATTATTCAATCAATGCCTCGTATTCATAAATATCAGGGGACAGAAAAAAAAGACATAATGCTGCAAGGTCAAGGGGCTGTCTCACGTTTTCATATTTTTGCTGTTTTGATCACCCATGTATAAAGACAAGCCCTCTATAAGCTTCCCTTCAAATAGTATAAATTAAAAGCACAAGAAAAAATGTCAGTGACCATCTGATGCCAGCATCTCATGAAATGATCAGAACCTGACAGTGGCATTTAAAGCATAGAATTCTGCATCACGTAATTTATACGAACCTCAATGCCACAATATTTCATGTATATAATTATATTAAGTCAACTCTCCATGTAAAGCAGGCCCCTTGTCACCAAGGCATGTTCATCCTCAGGCTGTATATGGAGATTACTCTAGGTTGGGAGGGTAGCTGCAGACAAAAAGTTGTTCACCAGACTGGGAATTGGGTGGAGAGAAATAATTCCTCACCTTAGAAAACAGCATGTTACAAAATGTTACAGGGCCTCAAACTTAGCAAGCTTTTATGAATATTGGTATGAACCATCGGGTTTCATAAAATGATAGGAACTGCTTGAATACCTGAGACACTATCTCCTCCTCAAGAATGACCATGACAGTAACCACTGGATGGAAAGCTGGGTGACTTCCAAGAAAACAAGATTTGATTTGATTTGATTTGCTTTCCCACATCTTAAGAGCTCATTCATTGTAATGTAATGAGAAGAAACTTGTCCATTTGTTCACATCAGAGCAGACAATCAAAGCTGCCACTGATTAAATTAACTGTTTAGACCAAAAGGTTAAGGCACATGGGCACATGGATTACCAAAATCATGTAACAATGGATGTGTGTATTAAATCATGACATTGAACTTAGAATAAATATTTGTGATAGCTGCTTAAAGATGTTATCAAAAGGGGTACAAGCAAAAATGCATCTTGACCTAGTACAAACCTAAAGGATAACTTTTTGCAAGATCTTTCTCTTCAGATTTCAAACAATTCCTTATTGTCCACTGGTGACTCTCCACTAAAAACAAAAGAATTAAATGAGTCTAAATACTGCAAACACAAACTACAGAAATTGAAGAAATCTTTCAGAAAAAATTACAATCTACAGCTACATAAGAGGTTAATGAAACTGACATCAATGAAAGAGACTCAAAAACTGTAACCCATTTAAGAAAGCTAGTATACAACATTCCAGATAGGATGAGAGGCAATGTGAACAGTTTGTAAAGGAATGTGCTGTTACAGTCTCACAACCTTGTCCCTCATTCTTGTTCTTTCAGTTCTTACAGTTATATATGCTGCTTGAGTTGTGTATGTACAAATGACTTGGGGTGGGTGCTCATTTACTGTAACAGTGGATTAGCCCACAACTTCACCAATTACTCATGAAGAAAACAAAGAAAACAATCTTTCATTTGTTGTGTGATTTGTAGCAGTTATTTTTGTCAAGTCACAAATACCAACTAAGAGCTTGTGCTAAGAGCAACTGTCTATACATTTACAGGGTGTAGTATAAAGACAGCATTAAATTAACATAAATAAAGTAGGTAAGTCAAGTGCAAAAAATAAGGTGTCATAAATTACATCCACACTTAACAAAAAATGATCACATAATTATAGTGGGAGGACCAGGTAACAGCCTAGATTGGGACCTGAAGTCTGAAAATGATATGGACAGCATTGCCAAGAATAGCACTCATACCAATGTTGGTTTTGTTGCCCTTGTCAAGTGTCACAACAGGCCTCATACAAGCAAGTAAGTGAGAAGTGCAAATACAAGAATTCGGCCTGAGGTTTGGAATGCAAACAAATCACATACTGGATTAATCGATGTATCATCCTTCAATAGAAATTACCATAACTGACATAGATTGCACCTTAATTCAAAGGGTAAGGAGAAACTTGTGCAAATCAATGCCTATGAGATTAGCTGCAAATCAGGTACTGGTAAGAATACCTAATCACTCATGTAACTACTGCGACTTTTTTAGGTTTAAGCTCAATTTTATCACTAAATACCTGAAAAATGCTCACAACAATACAAACAAGCCATTCCAAATTCAGAATATAATTAAGATACCAATTCTGTGGTACACCATCAGAACATTTAGAGGACTTTCAAACAAAACTGATAAATTATCTGTATCCATTAATAATATATACACATCCCAGATTCTGTGTTTAACTAGACACTACATGAAAATGCCAGAGATCTTGTAGGTCTTTACTGAAAATTATAATTTAGGAGCTAGTTACTGCAGACAAAAGGAGGAGTGGGTATTTCTGTCAAAAAGAATCTAAAAATTAATCAGTTAAACATACTGCACCACTGCAAAGAATAAAGCATAACATTCTGTGTTGTGCAACTGGAACCTAAACACTTCAAAATATGTCTTCCTTATATACAGAGCTTCCATAGGTGATTTCGAACATATAGTTGTAATAAAAACTGAACCGATCTTCAATTATCATAATTATAGAAAATAAATCAGAATTATAAATGTAGCCACTATTAAAAATTCATACATCTAAGTAATGAAAACTAAGAATCAGAATTAAACAGCCATGATGCACATTCAAAATTCAACACATTCTTAAACATAATTTTAAAACATTCTGAAGCAAGTTAACCCAGCAAAAGAGTGAAAATGACATCTGAAAATAATGAGTGGATTACTAAAGGCATCAAAACATCCTGCAAGCATAAATGGGATCTTTACCTAAACTGTCAATTTTGTCAGAAACAACTAATGATAATCTACTACAGTAGATATTGCAGAATACATCATTAAAGAGGAAACATGCATTATAATAAACATATCCTTGAGTCAAATAATAAATGAAAGCAGTCTGTAACACAGTGAAAAAGGAAATAGAAAATTTCTGCAGAATAAGTAAAACCATTGACAAAGATAAATAATATTGCAATAAAAAATCTTTAATTCTTAAGCATATAATTTCAGTGCTTTTAAACAATTACAGAAAAAATGAATGACAGAAGATACAACAAAGTACCTTACTCAAGCAATCCCTAAAACCTTCCCAAACATAAAACTTATACTCACAACAGCAAATTAAATTAAAAGAGTAAATTCTCTCAAATCAAAACATGCATGTGGTTATGCTCAAATATCAACAACTGAACTCAAAAGCTGTGCAGGCTGCATTAGTGCTATTAAGTTATCTTTGCAATCAATCAATCAATGTCAGTACAAGTTTTCCCACAACTACTTAAATATTCAAAAGTTAAGTGTTTTTAAAAAAAGTACACAATAGTGCAGACGTAACTACAGATCAATTTCACTATTAACAAATTTCTCAGAAATATTTGAGAAAGTTGTGGGATAATGGGAGCAAGTAACTTTTTAAACTCATTTGCAATGCAACTGAACAATTTGGATTTAGGAAAAGCCTCTCAATTTTAAATTTTGGAGATGTGATCTTTACAAGTGCTCTTAATAATAAAATACATGTTAGTGGAATATCGTGTGTTCTTTCTAAAGCAACTGATTGTGTAAATAATTAATTATTACTGGAATCACAATTTCAAAAACGAAATGAATCCAACTGATCAAAATGCATTGTTGAATTCTTGATCAAGCATCACTATCTATCTTTACCAGGGCAAATATTTCCATAAAATCCTGTTATTAAAAACCATAAATGGTAGCGAACTTGCAGTTATTACAAGTCAAAGGCACATATTCGTATGCACAATACTACTACAAAATATATTTTGCCGTTACTAGACCAGGTGGGTGAGGAAATTACACTACGTCTGGCAAGAAACCATGGACTTAAAAAACGCCTTACAAACTTCTGCCAATAATTAATGAAAAAATAATACAATTCAATTGCTTCGTAAAAGCTAAATGTTCAATCTGATAAAACAATTACATTTCCTTTGACCCCTTTATGAGATTCACGTTTTGTACAATGGAGAACCGTTTGGACGCCGCTTACATTTTGTAAGACCAAAGAAATATAACATTAATTTAAGATGACAATTAGCACAAAACACAACATCGACATAGACGATCCGCATTTCAATGTATTTCTAATGCCCTATAATGTTATTACTTAAAAATTACATTTTTTAAATCAGGTTGTCAGCTTACCTTACCACCACAGATGACGGATATATTCAAGAGTTTAACTGCGCAAATCTGCTGCGCAGGCTTCACGAACTGAACCACAATAACGATCAAAAAACAAACTATTGTAAAGAATTATAAATTACGGTCCACATAAATAGGTGTAATGGATGAAATAAATTAAGTTCTCAACAATTGAACAATAGCTAAATTAAGATCCTCTTATTATAATAATATAATTCCTAAATAGTTTGAATATCCATTTCCTGCTCCCCACCAAAGATTATTCGAAAATGAAGACGTCCAATGCACATGACTTACCGGACACACATGATGTTTGTTTGGGGTTGTCGGAATAGCAATGAAGACATCGTTCATCCAGTTTACTTATTTCACTATCACTATGTTAAATCATAAACGTCGATTTTAAACTTTACCAGGCCCACATTGCGGTTGAAGATAATGAAACTATACTCCTTCTACCGTCCATTTATCACAGATATTCCCTGGGACCTTTAGAAGCCACTAATCACTTTTTAAATGTTTATATTGATCTTACTGCGCTAGTTTAATTCTCTATTAGAAACTGATTGCTGAGAGGGGATAGCAGTTTAAATGGACGGCTGTGACTAATATTTATAACTACAAACTATTCAATACATTATATATATATATATATAAATAATTGAATTGAGTGTGTGTGTATATATATATATATACATACACACACACACACACATAATATGTGCTAATATTTTCTCTTCATATATTAATAGACAAAATTACTGTGTAAGTATTGAGTAATTAGTTATGTGTTCTATACGACCAGAACAGAACAAAATTTATTAACATTCCATGGATTCTTCATAGGCTCATGAAAAGGATTCAGAACATGTCATATCACAAATGCAATACTTGCTTTAATATAATTATAAATCACATAGTTATGACAGCAATTTACAGCCAAGTACAGTATTGCCTCAAAATAGCTATACAAGATAACACATCCTCGATTGCCTGCCTACATGTGGTAATAATAACTGAAAATTTCTTTGTTAGGTAAATTCAATGGAGTAGGAGTGACTCAGAAGATACTTACAGAGCTGGCATTTTTAAAGCGATTCAGACTTTTTACAGTGGGGATAAAATTACTAAATAGCTTAATTCCAGTATTTTAAATTTCTTTTTAATGTTTACTGAGGAGTGTTTGGTGTGTGAATATCTGTATCTTGTACTTACAATATGTTTATTTATGGTCAATTATATTTTGATAATGACAGAACGCTGATTTCGTGTTATGAGACATATAAAATAAAATAGAAATAATTTTGTTTTCTGACCATTTGTAAGAAAAAATGGCAAGATAAACAGTTTGTGGGAATTGCGACGTTAATTTTAATCGCAGTGCTTGGGAAGTACCGCAGAAAATTCCAACATTTTTGGAACAAGTACCAAGCTAAGATAATAGAAAATTCTATGTTGATGGCATATAGTTTCAATGTTTCATTACCAGATGGCACATTGAATAGTATTAAAGAATATCCAATGAAGTATTTAGTCAATCTACCAACAGCTGACTGAAAGTAAAGTGTTGTGTAACGTCAAAATGTGAAAATATATAGTTCCATTATTAAGTAGGAAAGGGTTTTAAGTATTTGATTAAATTCAGTTATATCTGAGAACATGGCAAGTACAACTGGAACGGTATCCAGCTCTGGGAGCTACAACTTCAAAGTTGTTTTGTTGGGTGAAGGTTGTGTTGGGAAGACTTCTGTCATGCTGAGATACGTAGAGGATAAATTTAATGAGAAGCATATTACTACCTTACAAGTTAGTTATTTATTAATGTAATTTTTGTTAAAATATTTGTTTCATGTTATATTTGCACCACGCGAATAATGCGTGCACTGTTTGTACTTCTGGAAAGATACAAGAATAAAATAGTATTTTTTTTTACATTCCATAGATGCTACATAGGGCTAAGACAAGGTTGTAGAACATGTCATAACACAAATACAATACTTGTTTCTAATACAAGTATAAAGTCCATAGTTATGACAGAAAAAGAGTCAACTACAGTATTACCGCAATAATAATTACACAAGAAAGTATAAATACTATTTCTTCCATTATTTATTTAGTGTGCAAATATCACGTGATTGGGCGATCTTGTTTGTAACTTGTGTGTGTTAACGAATTTTGCTCACAGAGTTATAATCTGCAGTGGCGGTTTACAGTTCTCCAATATTTATTGGTTAGAATATATTTAAAGGTGTACATTATGACTGCCATTCCTGTGGACTTCATTGTGTTATAAAATTATACATCTATTTATTTTCATAGTAGTTTGAGTTGTATTAATACTGTATATGATTGCTATTGTTTTAAAATATTCAATAGGCATAAGACCAACTGGCAAAGGCTACCAGGGTGGTCTGTGGTTGTTGCCTATATATGGATCTGGAAAATTATTATAAATACTGAATTTGTCTTTGCAAATACCAGAGTCCATGGTCCATTTGTGATCAGTAAAACTTTAATGTTACTTATGTGGACTTTGATGTGTTTTATATAATATTAAGAAAGAAAAAGGTGCCCTGCTGCATGCCATGAAGGTGCTATAGGTGGTATAGCTCCTACTCATTCTTAACTTCAACACTAGATAGGGGTTATGTATGTGACATTAGCCATGGTATTTTGAAGAAACTATAATTGGAAGTAAGAAAACCCATTGAAAAGCAACATTGACATATTTTGGAGGTTGTATATTCCTACAATTATCTAACATGTTATTTATTTCTGCAGTTGTCTCCTTGTAAAGTAATGTCTTCCCTATTTTATCCTTCCTCATTATTTCCTAGTGGTATCTTTAAGCTGTCTTGTTGGCCTGTGGGCTGAGATTTGAATCAAGGAATTATATAATTCAAAAGTCAACATGCACACTTCTTGACCAGAATGTTAAAATTTGTGTTTTGTATTTTCTTGTTATTTTTAATAATGCTTATGAGAAATTTAATCTATCATAGCTGCCCACAAAGTTATGTTCCATGTACACATTTAAGGTGAACTCTGGAATGAAATAGTCATATACAAATTTATGGTATTCTCAATACTATTATAGTTTGTAATGTCTATTTTTTTAAATCATTTATTCATTCCATTAATTTATATATTTTTGTTCTTAAAAATAACAAAATAATTGTCTTTCTTAATAAGTAACATGTAAAGCTGCCCTGCTACATGCCATGGAGGTGCTGCTGCTCATTCTTGACCTTGACACTATGTGGGAGTGAGTGGTTTAATGACAGGCATTTATATTCATCATGCCAAATTTTTGGGTTCAGGTGTGAGGCAGAGAGTGATTTAAAATTTTCTGGTGTTTGTACATAATAGTTTGAGTGTCTATGATTGAAACAAACAAGAATTGACAGTAGAATTTACCATCTGTTCCATATCTTTCAGGCATCTTTTCTGAATAAGAAAATCAACCTTGGTGGGAAAAGAGTCAATCTGTCAATATGGGATACAGCAGGTCAAGAAAAATTCCATGCCTTAGGGCCAATATATTACCGGATGTCAAATGGAGCAATTTTAGTGTATGACATTACAGATGAAGACTCATTTCAAAAGGTATGTTATAATAAAATGGGGGAGAGGAAGAGTTAGGAGCCAGGAACAATACTTGAAGTATTAGTTAAGTCACAGATTGTTATGGTCCATTGATGTTTTTAACAGGGTGAGTTGTTTTATGACAAACATTTTCCACTTTTCTCAGTTCTTCTGTATGTAGACCTTTTCTATCA